CCTGATCCAGCTTGCCGGCAGCTTCTGTTCTGCAGCAGGAGGTCAGCTGTCCCTCATTCCCTATCTGGCCTAGTGTGGCTGCAGATGCTCCTCTTCTCTCTAAGTGCCTAAGCTTTTTTTCTGAAGTGCCTGAGCTCTTTGATTCAGTTTTATCCCATTACTCCTCAGCCTTCCTTCCAGACATCCCTGCACGTAACAAGATATGGCCTTACACTCTTAGCTCTCCTGCACTCGTTGCTCATCTTATGTATTGAATTGACTTTGGTGCCTTACAAGTACCAGAGTGTGGCTGGGTTTTGTCCAGTTAATTATTTCACCTTCCCAAGTCCTTAGTTCTTGGTGTGCTCTCTCCTGCACACTCTCTGAGGTAGTGGTTTACCATCAGCTACAGGTGATGACTGTAGTTTGTGTGGAACCTGCTTCTCTTCAGGTGTGCCAGTGGTCTGTCTCATTCAGGTAGGGTAAGAGATCCATAATCTGGTTTTAGTTGCCCAAGGGACAACTGTCCCATCCTCAGAAAGAAGGTGAGCTTCAAGCCTCCAGTGAAGCCACATTGTCTGAAGGAATGAGACATTACCTACCTGGTTAGGAGAAATTTTATGACAAGGGGTAGAAGAGGCTGGTGTGATGGACCATTCCTCTTTGGAGGGAACGGACTTTAATAACAGCTGCCACCAAAAACGAGTGCAGGGGGACAGGGAGTTATCTTCTGTGAGAAGGATACAGAGAGCACAGGGAGTCTGGGACCAAGGTTTGTGCATGTGTGCATGCTCTGAATAGTGTTGTCTTGATTTCTTGGTGGTTAAGCCAAAAGATCAGCTGTGTTGGACTTTCCCTCATCAGGCAGGCAGCACTGGTAGGCACTAGTTTCACACTCGGAGTTTTGTTTTCTGTCTCCTAAAAGACAAGTCTTTGCCTGGAGACTCCTCAAAGTGAGACTGCACTGAAGCTGAGCAGTAAGGGGGACCCTTATGGGTCAGTGCTAATTTTTGTGACATCTGGTTTGATTCTGGCTTTCATCTTTAGCGATATTTTTTTTCTTTTAGGGGTATTGCAGCCAGGCTGTTACTTAACAGTGTTTGCTTTCAGCAAGGATCAGAAAAGAGAAAAGTTTATTTCTAAATGATTCATTTACAGGAATCAAAGCAAACCAGGCCTGTGCTCTGCCTAGCTGGGACACTTAGGAGGCCTGCACGGAGCCTTTCTGAGCTGCGCACATGGCTCTGAACTATTACAACCCAGTGCTGCTTTTCTGTCCTTTCACCCCTCAGTAGTCTCCCGAGGTGCCAGCAACATCCTGAGCGTGCAGGGGGCTGTAGGTTCTCAGAGGAAGAGCCACATCACTCTTCATAGGAAATGCCAATTTGTCTCGTGTTCAGTGCATCTCCCCTTTTCTGTCCTCCCGTGTCTGAGAGCATGAGCACCTGGTCCTGAGCATGAACTGCAGTGCCCCTCTTCGGGCTCACTATGTACCTCTCCTTTGCCCACTCCAGCTCCACAGCAATTACAGTTGTTATTCTCAGGGTCCTATAGACTCAACAGCTCCAGCACTGCTTTGTGCACGATCACCACTACGTCTATGACTCTACACTGCCTCATACAGTGCTGTAGTGCAAGTCTCATTGAGATCTCAGTGAGAACTAAATCAGTTTTCTTTGGCTTTGGTTCCTCCCTAAATGACTCTGTTTCTCTCATCAAATTGACCTCCCACACAGCCTCCTGCCACCACCTTCGTAAGGGGTGTAAGAGATTCTGACTTGGCCAGTGCTGTCCTCTTCTGCTTCTCTGTGGAACAAATCCCCCCTGGCAACTCAGTGGGATTCTTATAGACCCCCCTGCTTCCCCTGGCCACCCTGTCCCCTCCATCCCACGGGGACAGCCCCCTCACACCCTTCCTCTCCTCTGTTCTGCTCACTCCCTAACATCCTGCTGTGCTACAAGCCCTTATGCTTACAGTGCAAACATTTCTGTGCCTTGAGAAATCCCCTCAGGATCTTGTTCTTCTCCCTCAGGCCTTCTCCTCCTCACCTCTGTAGCCACACCATCTCTGTTCTGTCCCACTTGCTCAGCACAGAGTCCAGGTTTCCCGTGGTGGTTTCAAAGCTATGCTCATTCTTCATCTTTGATCTTTCTCCTAGTTCTCTGCACATTCAGCCATGCTGCTTAGAAGTCTGATCCTTCTGGGGTTCGCTGATGTCCTTCCCTGGTTTTCTGCCTGCCTTTCTCATCTCCACTTCTCTGCCTCTTCCTTACGCCCGCCTCTTCTGCTGGATGCCCACAGCATCCTGTCCTTCAGCCCTTTCTGTTCTCCTTTCACACATTATCTCTGGGTAATCTCCACCACCCACCAACTCCAACTGCTATCTCTATGGTGACTCTCAGATCTACCGTGCTGTGCCAGACTTGTCTCTTTCTTTCAAAAAAAAAATAAAATAAATAAAAATCAGCCAGCCTGGCTGATGTTTCCTTGTGGTCTAGCCCATTAGCCCAATTCAGACCAGTGAAAGCAAAGTTCACCATCCCTCACGGCAGCTTTCCCTTGTCTCTGCTGAGCAGACAAGACCTTGGTGCTGCCCTGTCCGGCACCACCTTCAGCTTTGCTCCCTCATGCACCTGTGGCCCCAGCTATGCCTGAGTCCCACAGGTTCTCTCCGTAAAGTGCTTCCAGATAAAGCCTTTCATATTAATTCGTCCTGCTAGAATTCTTGTCTGGGCTTGAGCACACTGCAGCTTGATTACCACCAAATTCTTTTGTCTGGCCTAACAACAGCAGCCTTTTTAATGAACTACACTGATTCCTGTAAAGATCTTTTCACCTTTGCCTTGACTCTATAACATATCTTCCTATGCCCCCTTGACACGTTACTTTACCACCAGGAACGTGATCCATATGTCTTTACATGGAAAGGCCTCTACAGCCAGCTGCAGCTTTCCTATTAGTGTCCATGTCCCTTCTTGATTCCTGGACACCTGAGAAGTGAGATTTGGGGCTGTTTTCCAGATAAACCTCTTTGCACTCTCTCCCCAGCTGCCCTGCATTCCCAACATCCTTCCTTATTTCCCTCCTCCCCATGTTGAAAGCATACAGGTAGCCTTCATTGCTCTGCAAAAGGAGCCAGGCACCCCTGGAACTTGGGAGAGGAGATTGCCTGGGTTAAGAAAGCCTTTAGAGGGTGCAGAGAGCACTGTGGGGCTTGTTGTTCCTCTCTACTTGGTTATTTCCCCTTGGGGATGAACTGAATGGTCAATTCTGTATTCAAGGCTGTGAAAGCAGCTGCACTTTTGCTGAATCTGCTGCAGGAAGGAAAAAAAATATCTGTATATTTCCATTTTCCTTAGAGAATGAAGCTTTTTCCCCAGAAAGCCAAGCTCTCCATTTGGAAAAGGACTAGGGTGAAGTGATGAGAAAATATCTGTGCATCTTGTACCCCTGTTATCCCTCAGGCCTGACTCCAAAGCCTCTGAGCTGCACAGCAGCTGCAGGGTTAGTCTGCAGAGATGACCATGGCTTGGATCCCCAAACGCCTCACTCTCAAATGGGGCATCCCTGGTCATCAGGCCTCCCAAACTCCTGAGTTAGCAGCCACCTCCAAAACCACAGCTAACCGAACTGCCCGTGGCCAGGCTGTGAATCCATAGCAGGGGAAGTAGCCCAAGAGCCAAAGTCCTGCCCCTGAGCACAAGCAGAGCTGCCCCCTTCTGCCTCAAGCTGTCCCCTTCTGCCTTGAGCCCACTGGTACTTAGGAGTTCCTTGCTTGTCCAGCACACACCAAAAGGGCATCTGGACAGATGGACCGCCTAGGTGCTGGTGCTGGTCCCCAAATAGGATCCTAGGAGGGGGCTGTGCAGGGGCAGGCAGGCTGGGCAGGGGGAATTCCTCCCACCTGGCTGCAGACAAAGGGTGCTGGCAGGGATGACCAAAGGAAGTTTGAGGAGTGGGGCTCCTGCCGCAGCCCACCGCCGGCTGCCAGGCCGGGCAAGGTCACCCCCAGCCCATGGCAAGCTGGTGCCTGGGAAGACACCAGGCAACAGAGCCATGGGCGAAAGAGGAGAGACAAGTGAACAGTTGATCCTAATTTGTGCAAGGTTGTAAATGAAAATCGCTGCGGCAGATGGTCAGTGGATTAATTTCCAGAGGGTTAAGAAGGCCTCAGATTAGGAAAATCTGAGCAACTTTGATGTGGGGTGCAGGATGCCGTGCTGGGGTCCAAGACCCACAGAGGTCAGTGCTTTCTGAGGGGCTCCCAGATGCGCGTGGGGCTGGAGCCTTGGCTGCGGGGTGCAAAGCAGGGGCAGGGGCAGGGGCAGGGGCAGGGGCAGGGGCTGGCCCATCATGCAGGCTCCCTGGCAGTCCTCACACTGTCCCAGCTGCACGGAAAGGGTGCCCCTGCACTTGACGCACGTTGGAAGCCAGGCTGCTGGCTGGGGAGGCTGTGCCCTGGCTGGTGCCAGCCCTGTCCTAGGGGGACTCGGTCCTGTTTCCTGGGGGGCCCTGATGCCAGCCTGCCCTGACGGCTGCCCACATTCCCCAGGCTTTCTCTTGCCCTTGCCACCGGCACAGCACCCCCGGGCGCAGTGCTCAGCCCGCTGGGGGGGCTCGTGCTGGCCCAGCTCTGCTCCCTGCTCCAATTTCCTTGTGGAAATCCCGGAGTCTTCTCCAGATCCAGCTCTGGTTTTGGGGGCAGCCATCGCCCGCTGTCTCTCCCGCTCCCTCTCTCTCTCCCTCTCTCTCTTTCCTCTTCCCTCCTTCTGCTCTCCTTCCTCCTCCTCTCCCTCCCTCCTCTCCGCACTGTGCTCTCCGGGGGCTCCGGGTACCGCTGCAGTATCGCCAGCCACCTCCATCCAGGAGGCTGGGAGCGCGGGGCGGAAGGGGAGGGCTGCGGGGGGGACAAGCTGAATGAATGGGCATCGCCTCGGTGCTGCTGGAGCCTCCGCATAGGGGCGAGGCGGCCGGACCGCGCCGCGGGCAGGGGGGCAGCGGCTGCCGGCCAGCGGCCGGGGCCGGGGCCGGGGCTGGGGCCGGGCCGGGCCGGGCCGAGCCGAGCCGGGCCCCCCGCCTGGCCCTGCGCTGCCGGGGCGCTGCGAGCAGCGGGCGCTGCCCCGCCGCGGGACCGCTCCGGCACGGGCGCTGCGTCCCGGCGCTGCGGATCGAGGTGAGCGGGCGGCGGGGCTGCGGCGGGGCCGCCCGACGGGGCGGGTGCGGCTGCGGCTGCGGCTGCGGGAGCGGGTGCGGGTGCGGGATGGGGCCGGCGCGGCCGGGGAGGGGTAAGGATGCTTAGGGTGCGGGGTGAAGCCGGGCCCCAGAAGGGCTAGACGGGGCGGGCACGGGGCTGGACGGAGCTGGGGCCGGGATGGATGGATGGTGCTGGGGTCGGGATGGACGGTGCGGGCACGGGGCTGGACGGGGCAGGCACGGGGCTGGGTGATGCTGGGAGCGGGGCTGGACGGTGCGGGCATAGGGCTGGATGGGGCTGGGGATAGGATGGATGGTGCGGGGACCGCGTTGGGTGATGCTGGGGCCGGGATGGGTGATGCTGGGGCCGGGATGGGTGATGCTGGGGCCGGAATGGATGATGCTGGGGCCGGGATGGGTGATGCTAGGGCTAGGTTTATGGTGCTGAGGCCGGGATGGATGATGCTGCGGCCAGGATGGATGATGCTAGGACATGGCCGAGTGGTGCTGGGACCGGACTGGGTGATACTGGGCCAAGGCTGCAAGGTGCTGGGGCCAGGCTGAATGGTGCTGAGCAGGGCAGGATGGTGCAGGGCCAGGCAAAGAAGGAGTTAAGTGTGTGCGGAGCATTCGGTCTCTGTGTATGTGTGATCAGCACCCCCCGGGGGGCGTGGTCCCTCCCACCCCGGGGTGTCGGTGCGCAGGGTGAGCACGAGGCAGTGGGGAGGCCGAGGCATGCAGGTGCTGGGTGCAGCGTGTCAGAGCTCCATGGCTGCACAGGGGTGTGCGACAGCCACGGCGAAGCGTGGCCCTGTCGCTGTGTCCCTGGGAGCCACACTGCACTTGCGTGTGTGAGAAGCCCAGGCTGTGTTTGTGTCTGCGTGCATGCGTGTGCGAGCCACTGCGGAGCCGGTGTGCGCGTTTGTGCCGGGGTGTGAGCTCCACAACAAGCCTGTGTGTGAGATGCAGAGCTGAGCGTGCCCTTGTTTCTGCAGGCATGCAAACTGCACCGAGCCTGTGTGTGGGAGCAGCCCCAGCCTGAGCGTGTATGTGCATGTGTGTGCGTGCTGGTGCATGCTTGTGCGCTGCTCCCCTGGTGTGCAGGGTGTGCATGAGTGTGGGCTGGTGGTGATGTGGGTGTTGGGGTGTGTGTGTGCTGCAGGGTCTGTGTGCATGTTGGTCTGTGTGTGTTTTGGGGGCTGTGGGTGGGTGCTGGGCAGCACACAGGCGTGGAGAGAGCAGGCGCATGTGGGGAAGGCAGGGGGGTGAGCGTAGTCTGCGAGTACCCATGTGCAGGGCTGTCCACTTCCCCCGTGGGCTGGGGATGGTGTCTGAGAGGAGCCCCCAGCCCCAGGCTGTCTCTGGGTTCCTCTGATTGAGAGGGGCTGGGGGCTCCTCCAGCCAGCTGCCCCCTCTCCGGAGGCTGCTGGCACGGGCTTCAGGTGCCCCAGGGGAGGGAAGCAGGAGCTCAGCCCTCCCTTCCCTGGTGGCCCCCCTCCTTTTCACGTGTGTGTGGGCAGGCAGGGCGGCCAGCCTGCACCTCAGCCTCTGCTGTGCTGCTAAAGGCACTCCTGCTGTGTGCTGGACAAAACTGACCTGGCGGGCCTGCAGGGAAATGAAACCTGCTGGCAGCAAGCAGTGGGGCTGTGCTCTCTGTTCCCACATGGATGCAGCTGCAAGTAGGCCCCCTCTGTGCATCTCTGACAGTAGCAATGGCACGGATGAGCCCTGCAGCAGTGGCAGGGTTGCTACATTTGCATTAGGCTTTTGGGGGGCAGACCGTGCCCCTCCAGGAAAGAGAGCAAGCTCCTTTGTGGGCCTTTGCCATGACGCAGTTAGGAAACACCAGTCCAGGATGAGGCCCAGGCAGAAGCAGGGTTTAGAGCCTTGTTGCCATCATTTTGATCGGTTTGGCACTGAAATGCCTGTGAGAGCTGCCCTTGGTGATCTTCCCACCACCGTGCCACCATCGTGACATCGGGCTGGTGTTGGCTGTCCTGTGCACAGATGTGGCAGGGGACTGGCAGCCCACAAGACCTGGGCATCTTGCAGCGCCTCCTGCAAAATGGACTCTCAAAGGCTTGCAAATCCACCTCCGACTGCTGCTCCTCCAGTGAAGCACAAGGCAGAGCTCACCCAGAGGCTTCCTGCAGGAAGCTAATGCCTGCTCTGAGCACCACTCCCGCTCCTGAGACCTGGGGCTGCTTCTCGCACCAGCAGGAATACGGCGCTTTAACAACCTGGGGCTCGGCAGCTGGTGTGTGCGAACCCAGGTCTGATCTCCACAGAAGCTCAGCTCCCTCACTCCTCTTTGTGTACATGACATACCAGTGCAGTTTCAGTGGTGAAGGAATAGAGCAGTTCAAGGGAAACGTGCCACTGTGCAGCGGGAGACCTTCGTGCCTTCTTACACCCTCATGCCAATCAAATGGCACTGGGCTGAATTTCACCCCTGGAGCATAAACATCTGGCAAGACAGAAAAAATGTAAATCAAATAAACATCGGTAGTAACTGGAGACCTGTTTTGAAATTGATTTGATACCTGCATGCCTCCCAGGCAAGCTTTTCTCATGTTAACCATTGTGCATCTTTGCATGAAAAATGAGGCTTTATTTTCAGACTGGGTAATAGCAGCACAGCATGGACAGAAATGAACACGCTGTTTCCCCTCTAATCTGTCCACAATCAGCCTTCACCCAAGCACTGAGCTGATGCTGCAGTCGTCAGAGATGAATAGTCCTGTACCCAGATGGCAGCCTGCTTTCCTTGGTGCCTGCAACATCCCTTCGCCATCCGCAGAGGAGGGGAGCAGCATGCGAGGCAGTGTTCCCGGGAGGACCACGGTGCCTGTAGATGCCCTCGTCCCTGGTTTTGCTGGCCGTGTCTCGGGCCAAAGCTGTCAGCTTGTGCTTAGCGGCATAAACCACAGGCGAGGCATCACCTGTTTGCCAGAAGCTGTGCTGACTTCCGATTTGCTTTTGGCCACGATTCAAGGTGCTGATTCTGAGTTCTGAGCTCGGCGTGGTTGCTTTTCTCACCGCCTTCCAGCCTGTGTGTCCCACCAGGGGCTGAAGCTGCAGCTGACAGGTGTGCCCCTGCCGGCTCCGCCAGCCCCTGGCTCAGGCTCTGCCACCCCGGGCAGCCTTTTTGGCCCCCTGGATGTGGGTGAGGAGTGCTGAGTCAGACCTGGCCAGGCCAAGCAGTCACCCTGCCCTGCCCACGGGAGGCTGGCTTGGAGGAGGTGACTCTCAGCCATCTCTACCGAAAGCAAAGGGGCTGCAGGCAGGCCACAGGCCGCAGCTGGAGAAAGCTGGGGGGATCATAAGGAGTTATTTTGATCCGGGAGCCAGCTTGATTATGCTAAATTTTGGAGGGTATTTTAGGTGTGTGCAGAATAGATGGACGTGAAGATTCAGCTCTTCTGCTTAGGGCTGGGCTGGGGGTGTGAGGGAGGTCCTCAGCACAAGCAGCTGTTCCAGGTGCTTTGTGCTGCTGCGATTTGGTTACGTGACAGTGAAGCTTTGCTGAAACCACACTCCCTGAGATTTTTACCAATCTCAGCTTGGACTTGATGGTGTATTCCACTGTCTGTGGCATAAATATGGTGATGCTTTGTAGAATGTAGCCACATTTCACATTTCATAACTGCTTTCCATGTCTTGTTCGGGAGCTTAGCTAGGTTCCTCTGTGGATGCTGTCTGACAAGAACCTTGCAACTGCTAGCAGTTGTCAGTGGTCTCCTTGTGTGAATTTGCATTACAGTTTTGTGTGCTCAAGAAAAAGGGCACCTCTTGGTTGCAAAGGCATTATGCAGGGAAAGTTCCCAGAAGGCTGGGCTCTAACGTGCCTGCTCTGCTTTTGCTCAGGCTCTCATGGATGTCATCCTTTCCTGGCTCTAATGGCTGTCTGTTGGGCTTAGATCATGGGCTGTCAGGAAAATTACCTTTCTTGAGAGCTTTCTCGGAATGAGGCCTAGCTCACTGCAGCTCTTTCCAGCAGCTTGAAGGAAGCACGTTTCAACTTCCAGAGCTGCTATGGCAATCTCCGTGGTTCCTGAAATTTTATGTCCTCTAAGGACAGAGGGGATGTGTGACAAGCAGCCACAAACCTACACTCTGATGGTTGCATGATCATTTAGGCATGTCCCCTGGGTCTGGCTCCTGCACTCCCTGGCACGGCATGGACCCTTCTGCACATCCCTTGGGCAACTCTCACATGGAGGGACGCTGCTCCCTCAGGTCCCCATCAACTGCATTCGGGTTTGGTACCCCCTTTCTTCTCCAGGGCTGCCTATAGATAAGTCACTGAGTAGCTGGAGAGCTCTGCTGGGAGGGACCCAGGAGCTTTGAAGAATGGTGTTGACACTTGCAGGTGGGCAGAGATCTACCCTGTGGGCAAGGCAAGTAGCTAGCAGCCCGTGTGTGCATAAAATATGTACAAGGCAGATATATTAAAACTACTCGGCACTGGCTTAACCCTGCGTTGAAGAGGGAGCAGTATGAGACCAATGACAAATGTCATGAAAGTTTCTTTACATAATATTCATAATATTGCATGACATATATACATTCATAATATTATATGATATATATATATTCATAATATTATATATTATATGATGCATAATATTCAGATTCCTCAGCCATTTGTTGCAATGTGCCCTGGCAGGACAGGGGCCACCCACATAATTTTCCTTGCAAGATGACAAATGCGTGACAGAGCAGCAGTCCAGCTATTCCCCTCACTGCGCAGCACTCTGGCTGGCTGGCATGGCTGGGGTGCCTGGACCCTGTTCCACCCTCTTCCTTTCCATTTGTCATTCACCTCAGACATGGTATTTTCTTCATCCACATTATTTCAGGGCCTTGGTAGAGGAGTAGACACTGGAGGTGGGTTATTGAATTGTCACGTTTGGTGTCCAGGATGGCCCAGATGATGCCCAGGGCTTTGCACGGAGCAGCTTCGCTCTGTGCTGTGTG